AGCAGCAGCAGCAGCAGCAGCAGCAGCAGCAGCAGCAGCAGCAGCAGCAGCAGCAGCAGCAGCAGCAGCAGCAGCAGCAGCAGCAGCAGCAGCAACAACAACAACAACAACAACAACAACAACAACAACAACAACAACAACAACAACAACAACAACAACAACAACCAAACAAATTTAATTACCTAATTATGATTTCGATAATATTATGTTTTTGGACTAGCTGCCAGAAGTGAAGATACTGTATTCGAAAAAATTTGCATTGCTGCATGTGTGATGCTATTCGTGATATTCGGTTTGAATTAAATTATTCAGGAGGTCAATTTTGGTTTCTTCAGTGGTTATCTTTGGCCAATCCAGTTTTGCCGACTGAGATAACAATTTGCCGATTAGCTGACGAGTGGGGGGGGGGTGTTCCACCCCCCCACACACACCCCTGTAGCGCCGGCCCTGATGACAGATGTTTTTATATAACCGCACTGTTAGGTTATTTCTGGACAGTGTACATTGAGAGATGTTTTTATATAAATAATAGCAACTAACTATGTTTAGCAAGTTATTGAAGTGCATTTATTTCAATTGGCTAACGTTTTAGATTTTTCCAGCATTTTTTTAAACAAACCATTGGTTATAAATGATAACTTTCTATATCTAATTAAAACAATCTGTCATGTACAGAATGTACACTCTGAATGCAAATAAGTACATAACTGTAAAAATTGCTTTAGTAAAATGAAATAAATGAATAATTTATCCATGCATTTGACCTACTTTGTGAGTAATTTTTTCCGATTAAAATTAATGCAACAATATAAACAAGATGTCTTTTTATATATAAATATTTATTAAATTTCAATAAATTGACCACAATATTATAACATTGACAACACGATACTTTATAATTTGCTATATGATACATGATAATAAATAAAAAGCTTGTTTTATTGTTTTAAAACAAGTGGAGCTCTCTGAAGGTTTGAAATGGGCTGCTAGCGTATTACGATCGATTTGCAACACAAACCCCAGGATCAGGCGATCAGCTCGTATGGGAATATGTACACGATCCAGTCGCGTCGGCCAAAGA